CAGAAGAACAGGAATTTCCTGTAATTCCCCTGAATTCCCCTGTAATTTCCTGAATTCCCTTGTAAACTACCTGCAGTCAAAACCCTGCCACCAGTGTCCTTTGGAAGAGAGATTGGCTCGTACATCCTACAGAAGGTTTAGGGGAAAGAGGCAGCGGTTAAGATAAATCTGATATTTCCAGCCTTTGGACGTAGAAAAATTCCACGGAACAAACGTCGGTATGAAGGTCTCTGTTGAGCTGTTCACTGGAATGATGTGCTGTGAAGCAGAGCAGTTGCTGAGATTTCTACTTCGATTCCAGGCCATCTTGGAACTTGGCGCAAAAGCCACGTGCTAAGGCAATTAGCTGTACTCGCTCTTATCCTGTGTTTTCCTACTGAAACTTTTCAAATTGTTATTTAAAGCCTTATTGTGAACTAATGGGGGATATTCTTTGCACTGGTCACCAGCGATAGCTGAAAAACAGAATAGTTATTTTCATTTAACATCGTGTATTTTAACACTATCCCTTTTTTCTTCCCCTAATTCCTCTTTGACAGGAGAGAGAGGCCTCTCCTTAACTGGCTTGAAACCATCTACCTCATCCAACTCGTGCCTTTGGAAATCTTCTGTGAAATTATATTTCCTCTGACCCCCTGGAAGCGGCACTTGCCTTTTGCCCCTCTGTTGCTGACCTCTGTGTACTGCGCTCTGGGCGTCACGTACGCTTGGCTGAAACTCTACGTCTCTGTCCTGACGGAACGAATTTCTGTTAGACAGAAGGCCGAGTAAAGCCGCAGCCTTGGGACCAGTCCCAGGTTTGAGGGGATTATCCAGCACGGGGAGGGGTTCTCACAAGGACGTACAACTCTTGATAAAACACAGCGTACGTGTACCATCGCCACCGGGGGAGTTTTTTCTTCCGACGCTTCTGTACTGCCCAACGAGGATACCTCCGATCAGAAGCGCTCGTCGCGATAACGTGGGGCACGGTGAGGTGCCGCTTGCCAGGGAGAAACTGTGACGCTTAACGAGGTCCAGACTTCTGTCCTGAGGAAAACCTGCCCGGCTTTCCCGTTACCGTTTGTATTCAAATAAAAATGGGTGTGGCAAATTACAAGGGACCATTGCTGTGTGGAAGAGAGGGTTGTAACTGCATTCTGTGGAATAACGTAAATTAAAAAATTGATATTTTTTCTTTGAGCATTTCTTGTGGGTTTTTTTTTACCTCATGTCTGAGCCCTGCTTTTTGAGGGACACCCGCACAAGTAAGGACGTCGTGTCTACCTGGAAACTTGTCCAGAGGTGCTTTGTCAAATTCTTGAACACCCACATCGGAAGCTTTACGTTAGTTGCTTACTATGTCCGCGTCCCTTTGATCTCCTTCTTTCATACAGTCTTTGCAAAGAGGTTTAAATATTCCTGTAATCATACTTATTTTTGTAGATTTCCTCATTTCAGACACAAGCCTCAATTCGGTATTGCTTTAACACCATTAAACGTATCGGCTAATGTGGCTGGATAATCGTATTTATTTGCAATTCATGTAAAACTCTACAACCATGACAAAAAAACGAGTGTCCGTAGTTCAGTAAACTGAGGAAGAGGTGTATCGTGTTCCGCCTCTGCAGAATCGCGTGCCCTTAAGGCTGGCAGTTACCCACAGCTTGATGCAGTTCATCGTTGTACTTTTTCAAACGCTACGTAACCGTTCCTAAACAATTTTGCTCTAGAAATGGGGCTCTGGTTTGAGTTCCAGTGCCGAGACATGAAACTGGGAGGGGAGGAGGGATGGAGTTTATTTTTTTCCAGTGGTTCTTGAACTTTCTTCCCTGTTAGCTGAGGAACGCGGCCCCCTTCAGAGGGGGTAGCCCAGGGGATGGTTACGCTCTTTATGTTCTTTGAATATTTTGGGTGTTAAAATAGAGCGTGGCTCTTGCGAGGACAGGGGGTGGACAGCAGAGTAGTTGCTGTGGCCATTTGTGTAGCCAAATAGCTTGTACGTTTAAACTTTTCACAGGCGGGGAGCTCATTTTCAGACTTTTTCACTCTGGTTTTCCTTACTTTCTCATAGTTTCTGTGTTTTCCACTCTATGAACTACTTTGCCTCGCTCTTTTTAGCTTCTGTGACTGCTGGCGGTGCCTTGGTGTTGCTTCCGCCTGTATCTACCTTCGGTCTAAGCCTCAAAGCTCTGCACGAGGCAGGACATCCCCAATGCTTGTGTTTATCACAGATTCATGGAATGGTTTGGGTTGGAAGGGACCTCAAAGATCACCTGGTTCCAACCCCCCTGCCACGGGCAGGGGCACCTTCCACCAGACCCGGTTGCTCAAGCCCCATCCAGCCTGGCCTTGAACACTTCCAGGGATGGGGCATGCGCA